CCAAAATACCAGCAACAGTGTGTGAAAAACTTGTGAAGACTTACAGAAAACGTTTGACCTGTGTCATTGCCAACAAAGGGTATATAACAAAGTATTGAGAAACTTTTGTTATTGACCAAATACTTATTTTCCACCATAATTTGCAAATAAATTCATAAAAAAATCCTACAATGTGATTTTCTGGAATTTTTTTCCTCATTTTGTCTGTCATAGTTGACGTGTACCTATGATTGGGGGTGCCGACCACCTCAGACAATTACACAACATGTTGCATAAATGTACAGTGCCTTCGGAAAGTATTCAGACCCTTGACTTTCCACATTGTTACATTAGCATTATCCTAAAATGGATTAAGAAAAATAAAATCCTCAGCAACCCACACACACACACACACACACACACACACAATACCCCATAATGAAAAAGTGAAAACAAGTTTTTAGAGTCCACCTGTGGAGAAAAAAAAAATCAATTGATTGGACATGATTTGGAAAGGCATACACCTGTCTATATAAGGTCCCACAGTTGACAATGCATGTCAGAGCAAAAACCAAGCCATGAGGTCAAAGGAATTGTCCGTAGAGCTCAGAGACAGGATTGTGTTGAGGCACAGATCTGGGGAAGGGTACCAAAACATTTCTGCAGCATTGAAGGTCCCCAAGAACACAGTGACCTCCATCGTTCTTAAATGGAAGAAGTTCGGAACCACCAAGACTAGAGCTGGTCCCCCGGCCAAACTGAGCAATCGGGGGAGAAGGGCCTTGGTCAGGGAGGTGACCAAGAACCCAATGGTCACCCTGACAGAGTTCCTCTGTGGAGATGGGAGAACCTTCCAGAAGGACAACCATCTCTGCAGCACTCCACCAATCAGGGATTTATGGTAAAGTGGCCAGACAGAAGCCACTCCTCAGAAAAAGGAACATGACAGCCTGCTTGGAGTTTGCCAAAAGGCACCTAAAGACTCTGTCCATGAGAAACAAGATTATCTGGTCTGATGAAACCAAGACTGAACTCTTTGGCCTGAATGCCAAGCGTCAACTCTGGAGGAAAGCTGGCACCATATGTGGTCCTCTGTAGCTCAGCTGGTAGAGCACGGCGCTTGTAATGCCAAGGTAGTGGGTTCGATCCCCGGGACCACCCATACACAAAAATGTATGCACGCATGACTGTAAGTCGCTTTGGATAAAAGCGTCTGCTAAATAGCATATTATATTATTATTATTATTATCCCTACGGTGAAGCATGGTGGTGGCAGCATCATGCTGTGGGGATGTTTTTCAGCGGCAGCGACTGGGAGACTAGTCAGGATCGAGGAAAAGATGAACGGAGCAAAGTACAGAGCGATCCTTGATGAAAACCTGCTCCAGAGTGCTCAGGACTGTGGCAAAGGTTCACCTTCCAACAGGACAACGCCAAGACAACGCAGGAGTGGCTTCGGGATAAGTCTCTGAATGTCCTTGAGTGGTCCAGCCAGAGGCCGGACTTGAGCCCGATTGAACATCTCTGGAGAGACCTGAAAATAACTGTGCAGCAACGCTCCCCATCCAACATGACAGAGCTTGAGAGGATCTGCAGAGAAGAATGGGAGAAACTCCCCAAATACAGGTGTGCCAAGCTTGCAACGTCATACCCAAGAAAACTCAAGGCTGTAATCGCTGCCAAAAGGTGCTTCAACAAAGTGCTGAGTAAAAGGGTCTGAATACCTATGTAAATGTAATATTTCATTTATTTTATATTTTTTATAAATTCTAAAATCCTGTTTTTGCTTTGACATTATGGGGTATTGTGTGCAGATTCATGAGAGAAAAAAAACATTTAATCAATTTTAGAATAAGGCTTTAACCTAACAAAATGTGGAAAAAGTCTGACACACATACACATATATACATATATACATATATACATATATATATATATATATATATATATATATATAAAATAAAAGTCTGATACCATGGCTTCAATTGAGATGTTATGTTTATGGTTAATTGATCGTTTAAACAATTATATTATAAAGCAAAGTGTGGAAATATACAACATAATAAAGCTAAATCATTCCCCCACATGACCTATAAAATATTATCAACTGGTTACACTGTGTGAAGAAAATGCTAGCTCACTATTCAGACAATGTAGACCTATAGTTGAAAATGAATTGATGGAAACAAAGTATGAACCTGGCTTAAATGTTTTGTACAGTTGAAATCAGTCATTGTCAAAGTGTTTACCCATAGCTATGTCTGTTGAGTGTCTGGTATGCTTACTTTAAAGTCTTAACCACTCTCCTGTGTCTGTTTGCATTTGTAAATCTTCTAATGGACCTGAATATCGCGTTGAAATGCTGGGACCTCCAAAGGACAAACCACCATTTACGGCTTGAACAGCAGCACAGATGACAACCCTATAAAAATTCTCAATGTATTCAATACTGGTCCTGGAGACCAACAGGGTGTGCAGGCTTTTATTCCAGCCTAGTAACACTCCTCTATCAACTAATCAAGGGCTTGATATGTAGAATCAGGTATAGTCCTGGACTATAACAAAAGCCTGCATAACCTGGAGGTAAGATAGGCCTTCTTTAAACCAGACACACACCAAAACCACAAATATAGCATTAGCTTTTGATTTAGTGCATCATTTTGTGGTTCAAAGCTGGTCACAATTTCATGTTAATATAGCAAATCACTTCCCTTCAGACGGGCGATATGAGTGGGAATGCTACCTAACACCGAAACACTAACAGTGATAAGCTGCAACATAGCAATCGAGTCTGGAGGCTTGTGAGAAGAGATAAGGACTACGTTTCCTGTACAGGAAACAGTGGTGGTTCTTATTTCCCCAGCCCTAACTCAACCAAACTACAACTCTCCAGTGATTCATTCTGGTACAGTGTATCTACACAAATCAACACTAATATACACTAAACATTTGGTACATGACCATTTTGTTTTATAGCGAGTCTAGGCAAAGCCCTGATCCTGCCATGGTGTTAGGGATTTGTGTCTAACCCAAAAGGCACTGCTGTGTTGGTTTGGCTACGAGGACGATGACTTAATTCATGTCTGAATCACACCGATCGATGGCCTGAAACCATTTCTAATATAACCAAGAAATATGGTGTAGGCCTAAGCACTGAAAAATGTTTGAAGAGAACTCAGAAGTTTAAACTGCTACATACTGTAAAATAATTATGAATCTTATTTGAACTAGGATATAGGCTAGCTAACACATACCTGTTTATTAAGCTAACTATCAGGGCATACATGAGGCATGGACACATACACAATAAGTAATTGGGAAAGAGATGAAACACTATACTGACAATGGAATGAAAATTATACTATAAAACAACTGAATAAATGCATGGCTTTTCAGATAGCATCTGTGTATTTGACTGATGTGGGGTCAGATCTTTCTCCCATAGGGCTGCAGTCTGACTATATTCATTTATGTGTGAACTTAGGCAAAATGGACAGGAAACTACATGTAAGAACTGACTCTCTCGTCATCTGTGCAGTAAGTAGCCTGAGGAATTACAAAAATAATAATCATGATCGTTTGCCATTTAATTATCTATAGCATTTACGGACGGTTGGTAGTACGATCTTCTATAGTGGATGGTAAGTGCAACAGGTGGAACTGCCCCCAGGTGGAAGTTAAGGCATCACATCTTGGAGGAGGCAGCGATGGCAGACGCACCTCCACGGGTGTACACTCTCACAGAGTCCTGGTAGAGAGGAGGAGGGAAGGAGACAAAGGGAAAGAAAGTGAAAATAGATTTGTGGATATAAACCAGTAAAACACAATCTTGTTTACAAGGGGTCCTGAGAGAAACAGTTACAACACAAATACATATTAAATGGGAAGGAATAAGAAAAAAGGTAAACAAAAAGTTCTCCCTGCATTAAAAAGAACAAGGGAAAAAAAGACTTTAGTTCATGTGTGCAACTATTGATTTTCATGAAGGATCTGCAATATACCTAAAACTGCTCATGTAAATGATTTGACTATACTTGGATTTTCTTTTTTCCCAAATATTTCCATCCAATTATTCCCACGCGTCTGCAACAAGCCGTCTCAGATATGCGAGTGCTTTTCCTATTTTGACTTTGATTGAAATAGGCAAAGACCCTTTTAATTGACAAGAATGAATGGACTTACCTTCGTGGGTTCAGCGTTGTTGAGTAGGGCCTGAACCCCGTTTCCATAGTCTGCATGCACAGCCATCAGGTTCTGCACCTGGAAAAACAGGACGTAAGAGCAGGGTCAATTGACTCAAATGATCTCAATTAGCCTATCAGAAGCTTCTAAAGCCATGACATCATTTTCTGGAATTTTCCAAGCTGTTTAAAGGCACAGTCAACTTAGTGCATGTAAACTTCTGACCCACTGGAATTGTGATACAGTGAATAATAAGTGAAATAATCTGTCTGTAAACAATTGTTGGAAAAGTTACTTGTGTCATGCACAAAGTAGATGTCCTAACCGACTTGCCAAAACTATAGTTTGTTAACAAGAAATGTGTGGAGTGGTTGAAAAACTAGTTTTAATGACGCCAACCTAAGTGTATGTAAACTTCCGACTTCAACTGTACATATCCCGCAAGAAAGAAATGATCTCACTATATATATTTTTTTACAAATGTTTGTATTTTTCTTCCACTTTGACAGAGTATTTTGTGTAGATCATTGACAAAAAAGGACAAATCAATTTGAATCCCACTTTGTAACAACAAAATGTGAAAAAAGTCAAGGGGTGGGAATACTTTCTGATGACAGTGTGGTGGAGGAGAGTTTGATTTGAATAGTAATGATGATGATTGTGATAAGATACATGAAGATATATAAATATAACATGATTGCTGATCCCAATGATGATGAAAATGGTGACTTAAGACAATCATAATGATGACGATTATGATGATGAGGAGGAGAAGAACTCACCCAGCGTTTCTGGATGAAGACTTGGGCTCCCTTCAGGGCACCAGCCATGTTCTGACAGAGCCTCTGGCGCTCCTCCTCATTCAGCACCTCAGTGAAGAAGGTACGCACCTGCAATACACACAAGGTCAAGCAACTGGTCACACACACACAAACCAACACATGAATAAGCATTAATAAACAATTAATAAACAATATTTCATTCTTTGTAATCATTTATAAACATTTGTAAGCATGATAAGCATTATAGTTAGTAGGGATTTTATTTATTTATAGTTACTCACAAAACCTTTATAATCATTTGAACACAGAAAAAAGTAGTATTGCTTAAAAAATGAGATTTAGAGTTCTATATAGAGCGTATCATCATTGTGCCTGGCAGTGCACACAGATCTCTATGTGTAGGAATTCACCCTCACGTCACAGCAGCGCAACCCTCTTTACTGGACAGGGGCCTTTCAACCTCTTGCGACCAGGAACCCTGATTGAACCCTTTTGAAGTGCCAGGCTTGACCAACAGGGCCAGGATATGGCCCCAATCTACACATCCTGGAAGAGCCAGAGCTGGAATGCTCTTTGCTCCAGTATATGACGGGGTAATAAAGTCCAGATCGACTAACTTTTATGTGGCAAGCCTTTTTCTAAGAAAGAAGGCCTATGCATTCAACAATGGATCAAGATGTAATCTAAAACACATTTCCTGACAGCACATAAAACATGAGCCTCGTAAAAGGTTGGGGTTAGTGAAAAGTATGTTGTATGTTCCTCTTATAAATTGTCCTTCTCCCTTGAAGCCGAGCAAACTACTGCGGATCACCGGCTTGCATCTGGCTGATCTAGGGCTGTCCCTGACCCAAAAACATATTGGTCGACCGAATGTCGTCTGTTCTTTCGACCAATCGAGTGCTGTGCTTTAATAAAATGAACTATATGCATTGAGCTTGTCTGATACTTTAAGCGTACATTTTGATGCCTCAAGAGGGCGCCAGAGATCTAGATAACCAGAAGAAGAAAAACCTTAACCTGATCCAACTTCAAAGTAGCAAAGCTGTCATCAAGGCAAAGGGTGGCTACTTTGAAGAACCTCAAATATAAACTATATTTTTTATTTGTTTAACACTTTTTTGGTTACTACATGATTACATGTGTTTTTTCATAGTTTTGATGTCTTCACTATTATTCTACAATGTAGAAAATAGTACAAATAAAGAAAAACCCTGGAATGAGTAGGTGTGTCCAAACTTTTGACTGGTACTGTACATACATACACTAACGTTCAAAAGTTTGGGGTCACTTAGAAATGTCCTTGTTTTTGAAAAATAAAATAAAAATTGTCCATTAAAATAACATCAAATTGATCAGAAATACAGTGTAGACATTGTTAATGTTGTAAATGGCTATTGTAGCTGGAAACAGCTGATCATTGGAAAACCCTTTTGCAATTATGTTAGCACAGCTGAAAACTGTTGTGCTGATTAAGGAAGCAATAAAACTGGCTTTCTTTAGACTACTTCAGTATCTGGAGCATCAGCAATTGTGGGTTTGATTACGGGCTCAAAATGGACAGAAACAAATAACTATCTTCTGAAACTCGTCAGTCTATTCTTGTTCTGAGAAATGAAGGCTATTCCATGCGAGAAATTGTCAAGAAACTGAAGATCTCGTACAATGCTGTGTACTACTCCCTTCACAGAACAGCGCAAACTGGCTCTAACCAGAATAGAAAGAGGAGTGGTAGGCCCCGGTGCACAACTGAGCAAGAGGACAAATACATTAGTGTCTAGTTTGAGAAACAGACAACTCACAGGTCCTCAACTGTTTTGCGGGTGCATTAAATAGTACCCGCAAAACACCAGTATCAACGTCAACAGTGAAGAGGTGACTCCGGGACGCTGACCTTCTAGGCAGAGTTGCAAAGAAAAAGCCATATCTCAGACTGGCCAATAAAAAGGAAAATATTAAGATGGGCAGTCTGAGATATGGCTTTTTTTCTTCTTCTGTTTACCTTGATCTCTGGGTCCCTCTTGAATCATTTGTGTCTTATTTCATCAAACTGTGAGTTTAAAGCATCAGACAAGCTCAATGCATATAGTTGACTTTATTCAAACACATAGGGTGTGTCTATATGGAAAAACACATGTTTTAAAATTTCGACCAATCGATTGGTCGAAAGAACAGACTACTATTTTCTTTGGTCGGGGACAGCCCTAAATGTAACTGTAAGCTAGTTGTTGATAGCAACCGGCTGACTCATGCAGTCCTGTAACATTAGCAGGCTAGTAGGGCCATTTGTCATGAGTGTAAATTATTTGGTTTAATTTGGAGTTATACATTTTAAGTTATTTCTGTTGGAGTTTACATTATAGGGAATAGCCTGGCTTGCAAGTCCTCCATATTATGTTACACGGCACACTTTTTCCCCCCGGCATGACTTTGGCATTCTGATCAGTTTAATGTAATAACTTCAGAAATAGAAAAGTGAGGTGTAACTTTGCATTGGGACAATTGATGCATATACTAATGCAAATCCATATGTTACATGTGGTTATGTTTATGCTACCTACCCTTTAAGTATAGTCTTGAATGTTTAAACATTGTTCTATCCAAATTGAGAATATCATTCTCTAGTAGTTTGCTGATAAACAAATGACTTAATTCATCATTCTCCTGTATCGATTTGATACCACTATTATCATTACTGCTGTAACCATTGATCAATTCATAGATTTTTACTATTTTTATTATTCAACTTCTGTATTTTACCTGTTATGGGTTTCTCTAATACAAAACAAGCTCTTGAAAACCGTATGAATTCATGAATCTGATATTAGGCTCATCAGATATACCTTTAGATAAATAAAATATTACTATTATTCTAATTTCTGTCTTATGTGTTATTGTTAAGATAAGTCAGGTCTTCTTAAAATACCATGTTTGTCCAATAACAGACTGGTGCCCCCCATTAATTTGTCCTTAGAGATTAATTCATAATGTTAAGCAATAACTTGACCAATATACCCTACATACAAGTAACTGCCAAAATAAAGGAAACACCCAACATAAAGTGTCTTATGTCTTAATAGGGCCTTGGGCCCCCACGATCCATCAGTAAAGCTTCAATGTGCCTTGGCATAGATTCTCTATTGGAGAGATACGACACCTTTCTTCCACAATAAATTCCATAATTTGGTGTTTTGTTGATGGAAAACGCTGTCTCAGGCGCCGTTCCAGAATCTTCCATAAGTGTTAAATTGGGTTGAGATCTGGTGACTGAGACGGCAATGGCATATTGTTTACATTGTTTTCATGTTCATCAAACCATTCAGTGACCACTCTTGCCCTGTGAATGGGGGCATTGCCATCCTGGAAGAGACCACTCCCATCAGGATAGAAATGATTCACCATAGGTTGAAGGTGATCACTCAGTATGGCTGTGTGTTTACTGCCGTTTACCTTGCCCTCTAAGGGGTTGAGTGGACCTAAACCATTCCAGAAAAATGCACTCCACCCCATAACAGAGCCCCCAGAACTGTCATTTACTCAAGTGTTTCCTTTATTTTGGCAGTTACCTGTATGTGCACACTGCGCTCTACATAGATACATTACCTGTGTGACATTATCGTCGTCAGCGCTGTTGTAGCGGCCCACGTCTGGGGACACCTTAAACCTGGTCTCCACGTTCTGCCGCTGGGTCTCTGGAGCACTGAAGCTGTTGGGGAAGTAGTTGGGAGCGCCAGCCTGGTTGTCGAACATGCACATGGGCCCGTCTCGCTGGTAGTTGGACACACGGGTTTTGAAGGGGCAGTTGACGGGCAGCTGCAGGTAGTTGGTTCCCAGCCGGTGGCGGTGTGTGTCTGGGTAGGAGAACAGACGCCCCTGCAGCATCTTGTCGGGGCTGGGCTCGATACCAGGGGGCATGTTGCTGGGGTCAAAGGCCAGCTGCTCGATCTCAGCAAAGTAGTTGGCAGGGTTTCTGTTGAGCACCAACCTCCCCACGGGAATGAGAGGGTACTCCTTGTGAGACCACACCTAAGGAAAAAGAGTTGCTACCTCTCAGGCCAACCAAGGTGCACGGATGTGCAAGAGATTTCTAGCCATTCTTGGAGGACAAATATTTTTTTAAATAGAAAATGTAAGCATGCATGACCCCCTATACTGTACTATTTTCACCTAATAATTATCCTGACTAAATTGGAGCTATTGAGTCAGTTGCCAATTATACTACCATTCACAAATGCTATGATACCATAACAGATCTCAGACCACTTTCAGATCTTTCAGTGGTTATGTGGAGTAAGTCCCCTCTCTGGTGGAAAAGTCAGAGTAGTGCAAATGTCTAGATACTCAGAATATTGTTGGGACATCTTGTTTAAATGGCTAACAAAGTAGAATACTAAGACAGTTCTGGTATTTCTGTCACATTTTTTAAAAACCAATGTAAAGTACAGATAAAATGTTATAAGAGGTTAGCGTCCCCACATAATTGAATAGAAGATTATGAGCATTAAAATTGTCTCTCTATGGTACCTTGGTCAGGTCAAAGGGGTTCCACTGGAACTTCTCAGCCTGGTCAAAGGTCATGACCTGGATGTAGAATGACCAGGAGGGGAAATTGCCGTTGGCGATGGAGGTGTAAAGGTCTCGGATGGCGTAGTCCGGGTCGGTGGAGGCCAGGCGCTCGGCGTCCTCAGGTTTCATGTTCTTGATACCCTGGTTGGTCTGAGAGGAGAGCAGAGGAAGGATGCTATGGGTTACTATGGACCCATCCCAATTTTTCTAACTACATGTCCTTCTTTACCCACCATTACTCTCTTGCATCCTTCAGTTAATGAAGTATTGTCGACTCCTATATCCATGTAAGTGTAGCACATTTCACTAGTCCTGTACTATCCTGTTCATAACATCATTTTTAGTTTGTGCTCTGACCTTGTAGTGGAACTTGCAGTAGACTGGCTGACCCTCGGCGTTGACCAGCTTGAAGGTGTGGGATCCGTAGCCGTTCATGTGGCGGAAGCCGTCGGGCAGACCACGGTCACTGAACAGGAACGACACCTTCACAGAGATTAAGACAAAATTATGAACAAAGGCACATCTTCAGTCATAAGCAATTTAGCTTTTATAAGATATAAAAACATGTATGTAGAAGAATGATATAATAATCTATTTAAACTAATGAAGCAACCACCATTTCTAGATATAGTGGCATAGCTTGGAAGCTGTTAATGACATGTTCTTACTAGAATTTGGCTTTAGTGTGGGGTGAAATCGATTCTATCTTTTGTGCGTGCACGTGTAAAGGTTTGGTGGCGGGTAGAGAGGAGCAGATACAGCACCTGATGCATACACTCAGGCCGCAGGCTCCAGAAGTCCCACACCATGTCTGGGTCCTTCAGGTGAGTCTGGGGGTTGCGCTTCTGAGAGTGGATGAAGGATGGGAACTGCACAAACAAAGGGAAATCATGTGTAATGGTATTTAATATCATACGGAGAGATGAACTAATGTATTAACCTGGTTGCCAGTCTGTTTAGCTAACATTCCACTCCTTGTATTCCATGTCATGTGACAAAGACTGAATCTTGGCAAGGCACACCCAGGCGCAATCTTGACTCAAACGTGTCTGAACTCACCAGCATGGCATCCCTGATAAAGAATATGGGGGTGTTGTTGCCAGTAAGGTCCCAGTTGCCCTCGTCAGTGTAGAACTTGACTGCAAAGCCACGTGGGTCTCGCACTGTGTCTGCTGAGCCTGATTCCCCAGCTACATGAGTTCGAGACAAAATAGGATGATAAGAAACTCACAGTTTAAACACAAGACATTAGAAAAAAGAAAAAAATATGACATTGTGTATTTTCTGGTATTTCTGGTATTTATTCAATGCTGTATTGATGATGTACAGTGGGGTCCGAAATTATCGACACCCTTGATAAAGATGAGCGAAAATGGCTGTATACATTAATTAAAATACTGAGCTATATTGTATGATCCCCAAAAATTGGAAAATTGTATTATTTTATACAAATACAATTGCGAGGATAACAGCACTGAGCCTTTTTCTAAAATGTTTTATAAGTTGGAGAACACATTGGGAAGGATCTTAGACCATTCCTCCATACAGAATCCTTCCAGATCCTTGATATCCTTCGTCTGCGCTTATAGACTGCCCTCTTCAATTCAAACCACAGGTTTTCAATGGGTTTCTATTCCGGACTTAGATGGCCATTGCAAAATGTTGATTTTGTGGCCAATTAACCTTTTCTTTGTAGATTTTGATGTGTGCTTGGGGTTATTGCCTTGCTGGAAGATCCACTTTCGGCCAAGTTTCTGCCTCCTGGCAGAGGCAACCAGGTTTTTGGCAAAAACATCCTTGTACTGGGTAAAGTTCATGATATCGTTGACCTTAACAAGAGCCCCAGGACCAGTGGAAGCAAAATAGCCCCATAACATCAAAAGGTAAATTTCTTATATATATATATATATATATATTACACCAAAAAAAATGTCTTCATGTTATATAGACTAAACGTCACAATTTTTTTTTTAGACATTAATAAATGCATTTCTATAGCTTCCAAAATATATATTTTTTTTTTACAATGGTGGGGAAACGCCAAGATGGAGACGCGTTGGCTTCAGACAGCGCCCCCGTCAGTCATCTAGTGTATGTATGTGTATATATATATATTACATTTTATATTTACAGGAGTAATTAGTGCCTTGCTCAAGGGCACGTCGGGAGATTTTTCACCTAGTCGGCTCGGTATTCGAACCAGCACCCTTTTGGTTACTGGCCCAATGCTCTTAACCGCTAGGCTACCTGACTCTTTCCAGGATTCTTCTGGTATCGGCAAACATTGCATTTGCAGACAAGCATGCTCTTAGTCATCTCCTCTACAGTAGCAGTAGTAGAATTGGGAGCTAGCAAATCTGATAGTGTTTCTTTATGCATGTCCTTAGGGAAACAAAAGCAACTGTGTAAATGTGTTTGTAGCAGTTTTATAGAAAAGCCATAGTGAGCAGCCTCAAAATACTATTTTACCATGTATGTTCTGAGTAAATACCAGGAAAATATGCAAAAATAAAAAGTAATGTAGGCTAATGTCTTACCCACGGTGGAGAAGCGAATGGCGATAGGTGTGGTCTTGCCAACATGCTCAAACACCTTGGCCTTGCAGTAGCGAGAGATGTCATGTGTCACCTCAAAGTACCCAAAAGCTCCTGTGGATCAAGAGGCAGAACATTGTCAGTTACTGTGTATACATCTAGCTAGTTTAGGCTAGTTAGTGAGTAAACAGCTAATTATAAAGTCATACACATGGTGCACTTTACACTTCTGTAGGGTGGGCCAACAACACACACCGTCACATGATCAAGCATGGTCCTATAATATTCTGCCCCGAGTAGACTAGAGAGCAGTTTACAGTTGGTAGTTTACAGAAGTAGGCCAACACTTTCTAGTATGTTTACTTCAAATGTGATAGACCTGTCTGGGGAAGTGTTTCCCCTATACCATTACTTTGTGAGGGTCCACTCTTAAGAACAAATCTAGTGGCGTCTAACTGACTGTCCAGCTCTGTCATTTCAGCCTGTCTTAAAACAGTTTCTGACAAATACAGTGAGCTCCAAAAGTATTGGGACAGTGATAATGTTGTTGTTGTTTTGGCTCTGTACGCCAGCACGTTGGATTTGTCAGCTTTAATTTGAGTGTATTTTCATCCATATCGGGTGAACCGTTTAGCAATGACAGCACTTTTTGTACATAGTCCCCCCCATTTTAGGGGACCAAAAGTATTGGGACAAATTCACTTATACGTGTACTAAAATAGTCAAAAGTTAAGTATTTAGTCCCATATTCCTAGCACGCAATGATTACATCAAGCTTGTGACTCTACAAACTTGTTGGATGCATTTGCTGTTTGTTTCAGATTATTTTGTGCCCAATAGAAATTAATGGTAAATAATGTATTGTGTCATTTTGTAGTCACTTTTATTGTAAATAAGAATAAAATATGTTTCTAAACACTTCTACATTAATGTGGACGCTACCATGATTACCGATAATCATGAATAATGATGAGTGAGAAAGTTACAGAGGCATAAATATCATCCCCTCCAAAATGCTAACCTCCCCTGTTATTGTAATGGTGAGAAGTTAGCATGTCTTGGGGGTATGATATTCTCTGTAACTTTCTCACTCATCATTATTCACGATTCAGTCAGGATTATGTAGACGTGTATAGAAACATATTCTATTCTTATTTACAGTAAAAGTGTCTCCAAAATGGCACAATACATTATTTACCATTTATTTATAGTGGGCACAAGATTATATGAAACACAACCAAAACAAATAGAAAATGCATCCCAACAACTTTGTAGTCACTAGCTTGATGTAATCACTGCGTGCTAGGAATATGGGACCAAATACTAAACTTTTGACTACTTTAATACATATACGTATAAGTGAATTTGTCCCAATACTTTTGGTCGCCTAAAATGGGGGAACCATTTACAAAAAGTGCTGTCATTTCTAAACGGTTCACCCGGTATGGACAGAAATACCCTCAAATTAAAGCTGACAGTCTGCACTTTAACCTCATAGTCATTGCATCCTTTCAAATCCAAAGTGTGGGAGTACAAAACAAAATGTCACTGTCCCAATACTTGGAGCTCACTGTATATTAAATTGTTTTACATTTTTTGTCATTTAGCAGATGCTCTTATCCAGAGCGACTTACAGTTAGTGAGTGCATACATTTTCATACTGGCCCCCCGTGGGAAACGAACCCACAACCCTGGCGTTGCAAGCGCCATGCTCTACCAACTGAGCTACAGGGGACAGTGTCTGTCTGTTAAATTCATTGGTAGTGCTGGACACCCACCGCCTCCCTTGGCGTGCACCACCCTCTCTGGGATGCGCTCGCGGTCGAAGTGGGCCATCTCGTCTATGAACGGGGTGTCCTGCACTAGGAGGGGCCCCCGGGGACCCGCTGTTATTATATTCAGCTTGTCCCCTATTGGGTGACCAGCACCAGTGGTCAGGTTCTCTGGCCTCTAAAGGGGAAGCAATGACAGACATCATACATAAGACATTGCACTACACACTTTTTATCCACACAGTCATTAGGCCTACTTTCTCACTTTTCCTTTGGTAACAGAGTAGGTCCTTTCCCTGATTCCACATCCGCTACACTTAAACACACTTTATTAATTTACTTGCTCTCAGGAGACATAACTACACACACATTAAGACTAGGAATGTACAGGTATACTTTATGCACCTGACACTTAATAGCCTGGGCACAAGACTCAATGGTTCCATTAGGTATGTGTGACATAGGTACAATTCTGACATTATACATGTCTAGCCTTTTGTACTTTGAATGATCATAAATCAGCTTCATTATGCAATTGCTCCAATTCAATATGTGCATTACATAATAGTCTAAAAGCCACTTAAATAGTTTACATTTCTCTTTTGGCCTTGTTTATTTGCAATCTTGCTTAATGTTGACCCATTAAGCCTACCCTTCCTGCGCACCAATGATTAGATAACCATGAGTTGACATGGCTAGAGTCCAGGCTAAACTATAGCAAGACAATAACCTAGCTACATTTCCTATCCCAACAAATCAAGGTCCATATCATCCAGTTATTGCAAAGAGTCACGGATTATTCTATTCTCATCTTGTAATGTTTTCACGTTAAACCAGCAAAATAAACACAAGCAATCAACTTCTTCTTGGCATTTAATTGGGTAGCTAGCTGACGTTAGTTAGCTAATCAAAACAAATAGCTACTCTGCAGTTCTGTTAATTCAATACATTACATTGTCACAAGAGTATGGGAGTAAACCCTAGTTAACCTTGTAATTATTTTGGAATTCTATTCTACAAATGTCAAGAAAGCTCAAGGGTTTCCACTAGTTAAGAAGAAAATAGTAGAAATGGGTTTATGACTTTGTGATTGTGGGTACAGCAGCTAGTGACGACTAACTGCAAGTGCAAGCTAGCTAGCTAATAAGCAGTAATAGGCTAACTTTAGCTGTAGACAGCAGCCAGCTAAGAATTCCTGCACGATCAAAAATTGACACAATTCAAATACAAATGTGCATTATTTGGTTGTGGAATTGAACAGTACCATGGTTCAGTAATGTGTAGCTAATTAGCTACCTAACATTAGCATTATAGCTAAGTAGTCCGGGAGGCAGAATGCGACCCTTGCATGATCTCTCACCCATTTCTAAACAGATTTGCACAACACAAACTAAGCATAGAAATGGACAAACCTGAGATCTTCGGCCCTCTTTCCAAAGCTTCATTTGATCGGTTGCTTTCCCTCTATCCTCGTCCATCTTGAAGGCAGACCTTTACACCACAACTGAGTGGAAAAACTTATATTTCTGAGTGCTATTTAGCCACTGTACTTTGTACGATTAGGGTGGTACTGCTTTCTCCCCGACTCCTATTGGCTGATCACCATCTGAACTACTTTCGGATATAAGGGCAAAAAAACAAGTACCCCTAGCTGCGGGTTATTTCTACGAGTAGTCAATTATTGGTTCACGTTGTCTAGTCGAACTACAAGCTTGTGATCCAACTCTCACGTGAGCCAACAGACTAAATAACGTATTAAACATGGGAAATATTTACATTGCTATCTTGGCAGGGATTAAGTGTCATATTTATCAGATACTGCTGACCCCATGACTAAGTGTATCACAAGTGCAGTTACAATATAGCTTCTGTGTGCTTGTGTGGACTCATCATGTTGTGTTGTAACGGAAACATATGCACACAGAGACAGAGAGCTTGATTTCCTTTCATTAATAGAAAATACAAAAATGACAGTTGTTTTATTGCTTGGTGAGATTTGTTTAATTGAGTGGACACAAAGCTATTTAGCCATTTCAATTGGGAGCATAGGTCGTGATAGGCAGAAAGGGTTGACTGGATGGATGTAGGTGGCTTCAAGGGAAGAATAATGGACGTTTTTATTTTAACTCAATATTCACATCCAAAGAACATAAAATAGTCAGGAGGCAGAGTTGAAAGTATTTATGTCTTAGCTTTATTCTGTGGAAAGTGGGAAGCATATAAGTATACTGTATGTTATTGTAAGAATCCACTGTTCCATACACTCTTAGAAAAAAGGGTTCCAAAAGGGTTCTTCGGCTGACCCCATAGCGGAACCCTTTTTGGTTCCAGGTAGAACCCTCTGTGGAAATGGTTTTACATGAAACCCAAAAGGGTTCTTCAAAGGGTTTTCCTATGGGTACAGCCGAAGGTTCTAGATAACACCTTTTTTTCTAAGAGTGTTTGTTGCTGAGATGTTATCCACAAAAGCCTTTTTGAAAATGAAAGAATAGATGCTATGACCATTACCCTAACCCTAAACTTAACCCCTATCCTAACCTTAACCTAACACTTACCTTAACACTTTTAAATCTCAACTTCAATAGGGTGACGTCATAGATTGGGTACCCAAGCATCTCACTTAGCATTTACATCCCCTTCCGGGACAGGATGTCCTTGAAGGAGAACTCTTAAACCAGATCAGTAACCAACGGAAACAGAAGCACAGAGAGCCACTGTCCTGTAAGTCTGAAAGAGAGACACAACATAATGACTAAACATAACAATTTGAAGAATTTACTACTTGGATTACGCATCCAGGTAATGACATAACACACCTCGAGTTAAGGGAAAATATAATCCAGTATAACATTGATTTATTGGAGAATTGACTGCATGATGAATAACTGAGTAATAACACTGGTGGGTTATGGTGAAGTGTGAATGAAACAGTGACTGAGTTAGGGTTGGTTCGATATTACGATCGACGATGATTGACAGCCATTGTTGATGGTGATGACATTGTGATCTAACAGACGGTGGTTTAGCATATTTGAACTTGACAGTAAAAAACAGTCTCACAGTGCACAGCAGGGCAGCACACAAGTGATATTCCTAGTCATTTGCCTATTCCTATTTGATATAGCCTATTTCAATAAATGTTACAGTGAGGGAAAAAAGTATTTGATCCCCTGCTGATTTTGTACGTTTGCCCACTGACAAAGACATGTTCAGTCTATAATTTTAATGGTAGGTTTATTTGAACAGTGAGAGACAGAATAACAACAAAAAAATCCAGAAAAATGCATGTCTGTCACGCTCGTTGACTGATGAGATCGACCAAGGCGCAGCGTGATAGGCGTACATATTTATTATAGTACTTAACACGAACACAAAACAACAAACAAACGATACGTGAAGTTTGGTCCCCAATCAGAGACGAGTACAGCTGCCTCTGATTGGGAACTACCCTGGCCAACATAGATCCATACGATCCTAGAAACTAACATAAAAATATACCATAGAAACTCCACACCCTGCTCCACATTTAATAGTCCCTCAGAGCCATGGGCGTGACAGTACCGACCCCGCCCCAAAGCGGCCACAACACAACAGGTAGGGACCGGTGTGGGCATTCCCTCTGGAGGGCGGATCCTGCTCCGGGCGTGACTCCCTTCTCTCCACCTCCCCGTGGCGCCCTGGTCTGGTCTGGCACCGCTGACTGGAGCGGACCCGACGACGGTGAGAATCCAACCGTAGCAGGCTCCGGACTGGAGCCGCTGGCCGGGGGCTGACTGGTCAAACGCGGTGGAGCGATTGCCTCTGGCTCCGGAGTGGGATCCGCTGACAGGAAGTTGGGCCGGACCCCGGTGGAGTGGATTGCTCTGTCTCCGGAGTGGAGCAGCTGGTGTAACAGGCACGGCGCGTGCCGGACTGGACACACTCACCCAGCTTGGGCGGGAGCATAACGGGCCGGACCGGGCTGACCGACGCCACCACTGGCTAATGGGTCTGACGACGGCGGCACCACGTGGCTTGGTGCGGGGATCATGGTAACGGGCCGGAACTGGGCTGGGAACCACCCACCCACCTGGCTTAGTCCCGGGGAGCAGGAACGGGCCGGACTGGGCTGACGACGCGCAACCACAGGCTTTGGTGCGGGGAGGGGCAGGAACGGGCCGGGACTGGGCTCGGGAACACCCAACCACTGGCTTAGTGCGGGAATCAGGAATGGGGCCGGACCGGACTGGCGACAACGCACCCACTTGACTGTGGTGACGAGGGCGGGACTGGGGTTCCTTCATTAAAACCCCCCTGCTCCTTCTGCCTTGCCTAACCAGCTCCTCTCGCCGTGCCTCTACACCCCTTCCTTTATCTGCTCCCTATGCACACAATTACCCCCTTATCTGGCGGCCCTCCTCTGCTAACCGGCTGAAACCGCTCTATCCACGGGCACTCCTGCTGCCATCGTCGTCCACGGCGTGAGCCCCCCCCTAAGAAAACTGTTAGGGGCGTGTCTCCTGTCTCTCCCCCCCGTGCTCATGGCCTCCATCCCCTCTGCCAGACTCTCGCTCATCTCCTCCCCCAAGTCCATCCTCTCCTCCTCATCACGCTGCTTGATCTAGGATTGGTGGGATCTTCTGTCACGCTCGCTGACTGATGAGACGGACCAAGGCGCAGCGTGATAGGCGTACATATTTATTATAGTACTTAACACGAACACAAAACAACAAATAAACGATACGTGAAGTCCTAGGTTACACAAAACAAACCTTTACGGAACAAGATCCCACACCGACTAGTGCCAAACAGGCTGCCTAAGTATGGTCCGCAATCAGAGACAACGAGTACAGCTGCCTCTGATTGGGAACCACCCTGGCCAACATAGATCCATACGATCTAGAAACTAACATAGAAAATATACCATAGAAACTCCACACCCTGGCTCAACATTTAAGAGTCCCCAGAGCCAGGGCGTGACAATGTCAAAAATGTTATAAATTGATTTGCATTTTAATGAGGGAAATAAGTATTTGACCCCTCTGCAAAACATGACTTAGTACTTGGTGGAAAAACCCTTGTTGGCAATCACAGAGGTCAGACGTTTCTTGTAGTTGGCCACCAGGTTTGCACACATCTCAGGAGGGATTTTGTCCCACTCCTCTTTGCAGATCTTCTCCAAGTCATTAAGGTTTCGAGGCTGACGTTTGGCAACTCGTTGCTT